ACTTAAAGATATATTAAATATATATCTTAAACTTTTTAGCGTACAGCATTGGTTAGCTTTGACCCGGAAAGAACCCTGAGTTAGAACTTTGTGTTCAAGGTTTGATCCCAACATTAGATAAAAAAACAACTTTTTTTTCAAATCCTACAATCCTTATCTTTACTTGTAATTTGCAATATTTAAGTCATTTAAAAATTATACTCACATGTTACATCTTTAATATCACATTTTAAACATCCTTCAAGCGTTATAATAGCGCTTTAAAGATGTTTAAGAAAAACTAATGGTCTTGTCTCAGAACTGGGAGGAGCCGGTATAGAACCTGAGGTTTTTTGGTTCTTTGCCATATATTTTTGGCGTATCTAATTTTGTAATAAAACTTGGCACAGGGTAAGATTTTTTGTAGTTGTCCTAATTCTAAATATGCAATTCAATATATATATTTCAGTTATTTATAAATATTAGGTAGCATAAAACCATAGTTGAAGCAGGCCGACTTGGTATTTACATTCTAGCTATATTGTTTAAAACAGTCATTTCTAGTTTACATTTTAAAACGATTTTTATATATCTATATCAATTAAACAATTTTCACAATTAAAGCGACTGAAATACTAACAAAATTATCATATATCAATTAAACAATTTTCACAATTAAAGCGACTGAAATACTAACTAAATTATGTGACAAAATCATTTTTATCTGTATAAGTAAAGCTCAATTATATGAAAGTTACTACGTTTATTTTTCTGCAAACAATTCAACACGCAATTCTTTTTTTTTTCCGTTTAAAAGAAAACTTTTTGTTATTAAAAATTGGTCTTAAAGTTGTGTAAGGACTAGGGTGTCTCGTTTCCAAAAAATTTTAGAATTATCACCCTAACTTTTATGTTGAGGTTTGGAATAAGAAAAAAAAAAGTACGAAGTTTTTTTTTTATATATAAAAGTTTTAGGGTCACACAAAAAAAGCCTGAATATCTGTTTTTGCCGTCTTTATTAAGCATTTTTGCAAAACAAGTTAATAAAAACATTCCGTAACAACTTTAATATTTACACGGTATTATTTACTATTTTACTATTGTATAAAAAATGTTACTTAACAAAACAAGTTTAAGGGTCCCCCGAATTAATTAGCGAAATTGTTTTGTAATTTGGCAAAGTCAGTAAAGGAATTCGCGCCAGATTTCGTTATACGTTATCGCTAACTATTAAAAACTACTAAAAATTATACTAACAAAATAAACCTGCTGAACTTCAAACAAATATTTTGCTTGTTAAATGTTACTTTGCTATTCTGCAATTCTTAATAACTATTAAATAACTAAATGATAATTTGATTTAATGATATTAATTATTTAAAGTTATTATTCTTTAATTATTTTAAATTAAATATATATGTTAGTGTAACTTAAATATATATTATATGTAAGTTAAACTTATTTTAAGTAAGTTTAATTTTCATTTACTGTAAGTTCGGTTACAGTAACTGAAGCAACATATCAAAACATATTTAAAAAATTGTCTACTTTATACATAAAAAAAACCTCATCTACTAAACACACAGAAAAACCTAATAAAATAGTATGTAATAATGCTTCAAGTTTATTGTAGTATTACACTTAGAATTTAAAAGTAAACTTCAATGTTTAACAACCATAATATAAAGGCAACCAAAAAATATTTTATATTTTAATATTAATAATATTTTACAATGTTTTGA